AAATAAAATAAAATAATAACAAACATTATAATTATATCAAAATAATAAAATATAATATGAAGTTTTATTGATAAAATTGAAACACCAAGAAATTTTTTTAAAAAATTATCAATACTTTAAAATAATTATCTTTGATTTTTACTTACTATTATTATTTATAATTTTTCTTTCTTACTATTATTATCATTATTTACAATATTTTTTTACTAAATATCAGTACTACAATTCCAAGCATAATAGATGATATTTTTGATATAAGGTGTTATGGTACCAAGCATAATATTTGATATCATTGATCTATTATGATATAGTTTAAATCGTTAAACTTGATATCTTTGATTTGTAGTGCTGCACTTCCAAGCCTGATGCATAATATCATTGATCTGAGGTCTTACGGTGTCAAGCATATGCTTGATATCCTTGACATGGGGTATTACAATTTCAAGTATAATAGATGATATTTTTTATACTACTTAGTTGTATAATTTATTTGTAATACTATGATTTCAAGCATAATGCCAAATATTCTTAGTTTGGGGTCTTATGATATCAAGCATAATACTTGATATCCTTTATTTGAAGCATAATAGATGATATTATTAATACTGCTTAATTATATCCTTTAAGCCCAAAGCCTAAGAAATGAACAGATAATTAAAAAATAAAACAAAATAATAACAAACATTATAATCATTCCAACCTAATAAAAATAAAAAAAATAAAAAATAAATATGAAAAATTGTTAATAAAATTGAAACACTAAGAATTTTTGTACTTAAGATATTAATCAAGTTATATTTTCCGTTAAAAAAAGTTCAGTTAAAGTATGGAAATATTTCAAGTTATTTTGAAATAATAAATTAAAAACTATCTTAAGTAAGGTTAAATACAAAGACATCTTAAATTATTTATAATTTAAAATGATTCGTATCAAAATCATCAAATATAAAAATTTTTAATTTGTATTTTTAAAAATAAAAAATGAACTTATATTAGTGCATAAGAAAAAAATTAGATCTATTTAAAAATTAAAGTATCCAAATAATCTTTAATTTATTTGATGAAATTGAACCCCACGGGGATGCATAGGCCATTCGTTCGTTTTTGAATAAAAATCCTATGGTTACTACAAGACTCTCGACTTATATTTTACAATTATATTTTTGATATTTATAATTTATTTATGATTTATCACTAAAAATAATGGTTAAAGTAGGGGCGACTCAATAACATTAAAATCCTAAAGTAAAACATTCAAATGAAGCTTTTGTTGAAATTAAGAAATTTTTTTAAGCTTTAAATAATCAAATTTATATTTTTGATTTGACATATTCAAATATTTATTATCAAAAAATATTTTGCTACTATAATTATTTTATATTTTTTAAATGATTAATATAAAATCAACAATTAAAATTTTTAATTAAAATAAATTAATTATCACATAAAATAGATACAATATAACAATATAATATAAACTCTAAATTAAAATAAAAAAATTCGTTAAGATTAAAATAATAATATATAATTGTTGAATGTTTATTGCAATTAGTAAATGAGGCTCATGACTTTATAAAGATAATAACATAACAAACTTCTTACATGTTTTTTGAAGGAAAATTAAAATTGAGAGCAAAAAAGAGTAAATAAGGAAAGATGAATTCAACCGTGAAAATTATAAATTGAAAAAAAAGATAATTAGTTTTATATAAAGGAAATAAAATAGTTGTTGGAAATCATTAAATATATCTTGCCATCAGTTGATTGAAAATAGAAAACATATGTGAAAATAAAATAATTGTTGAAGATCATTAAATACATATTATTGTTAATTGATTGAAAATAAAAAAAAATAGCTGATAATTAATTGTATTGTAGGAATTGGAAAGTGATAAAAAATTGAGTTTATTAAGAGCATAATTAGAGAAGTAAGAGAATATGTCATTTTATTGATTATTTTTAATTTTTATATATTTTTAACAAAAATGAGATAATTAGTTCAAAATTAATAAGAATGTAGAAGTGAGAGGGAATAAATATTTATTAGATATAAGAGAATAGATAAATAATTTATTAATTATCTTAATTTTTATATATTTTTAATATAATTAATTATATTATTATAAAAATATAAAGTCTCTCTAAATTTAAGGCCTAAAGCCTTGGATGACTTTACCCAAGGGCCGACTTGGGTCTTGTAGTTTACTAAATTATGAATTTAGTTAGTTATTTTATAAAAAGTAAATTGATTAATATCTTAAGTACGAAGTTACTTAAAAAACATTTGGTTCAAATTTAAAGAACTAAAATATTTCAAGTTATTTTTTCGTATTTAAAATATTAATTAGGTAACTTTTTTAGTAAAAAAATTAAATTAAAGTACAGAAATATTTCATATTACTTTGAAAAAGGAAATTTAATAAATATTCTAAGTAGGGTTAAAGTACGAAAATATTTTAAATTATTTGTAATTTAAAATAATTTATATAAATTTTTTTCAATTTATACTTTTAAAATAACAAAAAGTAGCATATTAATGCATGCAAAAAAGAAAATTTTTTAAAAAATTAATTACAATAATAATCTTCTAAATTTATTTGATGAAATTTAACCTCACAACAATGCACAGGTAATTCGTTAGTTTTTTAATAAAAATCCTATAGTTATATAATGCTCTTGAATTATAGTTTACTATTATATTTTTGGTATTTATAATTTATTTACAATTTATCACTAAAAGTAACAATTAAAGGATAGATTAGATCTTATAATATACTAAATTATGGATTTATTAAGTTACCTTTTTATAGAAAGTAAGTTGGTTAATATCTCAAAAAAAAAACGGTTAAAGAATAGAAATATTTAAAGTTATTTTCTCAATGGTTAGAATATTAATTAAAAACAAAAAGTTTCAAGTTACTTAAAAAAAAGATAAATTGGTTAATATTTTAAATACTGTTAATGAGCAGAGATATTTAAAGTTATTTTTTTTAAAAAATTTAGGATATACTAAAGTTACTTCTTCTGTAAGAATAGATTTGTTTAAAGTAGAAAATATGTCATATTACCTTGAAAAAAGTAATAAATCTAGTTAGTAGAGTTAAAGCATGATTATTAGAGCCGCAACAAAGAAAAAGAAAAGCAAATTGTAAAAACATAGGTTTTTTTTTTTTTGAAAGGTAAAAATTAAGTCTTATTGAAAATAAATAAAAAAAAGAAATTAAAAAAGTTACATAACAAAAAGAATGACGTGGCTTTTTTGAGGAATGAATTGAGGTGGCATTTTTATTGGTCCCAAGGGGCTGATGTGTCTTTTGTAAATAGCCATTGCTGCTCATTTCGAGTTTGGGGAAGAAGGGGAAAAACTTTACTGATGTTTGAGTGTTTGGCGTTTGGTGAATTAAAAATTAACAATGGTGAGATTTTTATTTTCGGAGAAATGGCGCCAACATGTTTCTAAAATGGGTGTTCCCGCCCATCTGCTTTCCTTTCCTTTATTTACATTAATGTTCTTTCTCTTTCGCTCTTTGCTTAAACTAAAAATTGTCGTCAGTGAATGAAACCAAACAACAAGGTGAAGCAAAGAGAGAGAGAGAGAGAGAGAGAGAGAGAGAGAGCTAAGATTGGAAGATCCCTCAATCAGATTCTCACCAAATTATGGGATCAGTGGCTCTTTTGGATTCTAATTCTTCTTCAGGTTTTTTTTTTTAATTTTTTTCCTTATTTTTCCCTTTCAAATTGAATTATTAATACTTTCTATATATTAATTTCCGAATGTTAAATTTTGATTTGGTGCTGGTAGACCTATCCGTAATGCGATTTTTGGCAAGAAAAGAAAAAAAGGAAGGTAGCTGGGCCCCATATAAATATTTATGAATTTTATTATATTAAGTAATTTTTTCCTGTAAAAGGGAGAAAAAACTGTGCATTGCCAGCTTGAAATAGGTCATCCAATCTCTATAGGTTAAGCCGACCAGGTGATGATAGATTGTTTTCATTTCATTTCATTTTCAAAAGAAATCCATTTTGTTTTGTAATTTCCACCGCAAACGCAAAGGTTAGAGCTTGACTGTGATTTTCGATATTTTTGTTGTTGAATGCAACGCCTTGTAGGATACGGGTTCCTTTTAATTTGCTATTCTCCAATGATTTTCTTGTTTGTGCATGCCTTAACTCCCTTGTACTTGAACCTTGATGCATTTGTTTTTCCTTTTGATGTATAGGAGTGTTTTTTTCTTGAGGTTTAAGTAAGTGATTAATATTATTTCTTACAACCAAATAAAGTTGATGTGGGTATAAAAGTCGTGTCAATAGTTTTAAATTTTATTTTTTCAGAGAGCTCTAGGAAAATCATCTAAGGTTTCGCTTGGTTTTTGCTTTTGTGACTTGTTCTGCCATTTGCTTTTGCTTGTTGCTTCTGAAACCACAAGGTAAAAAGCCTAATAGCAACAACAATAATCAATGGAAGTTGTTTATCCATTTTTTTTTTGGCAGATTTGATTTTTGGGGTTTTTTTTTTTGTTTTGTTTACATCTTAAACCTTTGGTTTCATAAACTTAAATTCATTCAGCAATTATAAATTTTAATTTTCATTTGTATTTCCATGGTTGTTTACACAAAATATTCGAGTGACATTCAATAAGAATATTTTCCACTTGCTAACATTCGTCCTTCCTCGATGTTAACCTTTGATCCTTGGTATCTTAGAAATGAAGATTGTTAGGCTACATGCATGCACCTGAGCATTGGCTCATTGATTGGTGCATTATCCCCTTGTCTAGAGAGTAGGGTTCAAATCTCCCTTTCTCCAATTATAAAGAAAAAAAAAAGATTGTTAGACTACGTGCATGAGTCATTTTTCTTATTAGGAAACAAGTTTACGTGCATGAGTCGTGCAT